ACTCGGAGGCACCTACACGCAGCTGCTGCTCACTACGCAAAAGCCTTTCCGCCCAGCAGCGCGGGACACAGTTGCTCACTGGATCAAACACACTCTAACGCTTGCGGACATGGACACGTCGGTTTTTAAAGCGCACTCAACGCGAGAAGCGGCCACCTCCAAAGCCTTCGAGGTCGGAGTACCACTTGCTGACATCTTAGCAGCAGCTGTCTGGTCCTCAGAGGAGACACCTAACCGCTTTTACCGGCGGCCATCGGATACCCGGGCACACTTTGGAACCCAGGCGCTGAGAACACATGCCAAATCTTTGAACAAGCAGTTGTGAACTTGATAGTAAGTTAGACAGAGGCTGAAGTATAACTACCAGTTTTGACGAATGGTACTTATCTAAAGTTGGAGCGGGAATTATAGAACGTTCCATTTAGCGCTCTCAAGGCGGCGCCATTTTGTTAAACCGCAGCGCCCTCTTCACACATCCGGGAAGTTTAGCAGGTTCGGCGGGGTAAAACGAGAGAGAGGGCACGCGCCCGACTCTGCCAGCAAATGCTTTACAAACCGGGAGGTTGCCGTTCTCCATCTTTGGGCTGTACCGGCGGGCTGTACCGGCGGGCTGTACCGGCGGGCTGTACCGAACATCGAACTCTCGCTCGTTGCCGCCGTTATGAAGTGGTTCGCGTTCTTAGAATATGATATGGCTACTCCAAGATCAGCCTTTAGCGCTCAGTTGTTTAATTTCAGTAAACGATCAACTATCGTATCTTTGTTCCGTTACTTCAATAGCAGTAAAGTCAGCCGGCAACTCAACCACTGTGTCTATTGCGCCAGGAGAGCACGTTTTTATTTATTATTACAGACTTGCACTGATTGTCGCTCAAAGCCTACACCAGTACGAACTTGGTTTAGTAAAATGGCTACAGCAACCGGATTTACTTTTCGCCGGAGGGACCGGCCCCTCTGACACAGTTTTTCCATTTTTTTTTTATTCGGGAGCAGGTAACATTGCAAATAGACTCGGCTAGTATTTTTATCGAGCATAGCATTACACGATAATTTGCATATCAAAATCCGCGCATTTAGACGCCAGCCGGATGTTAAGTACAGCCCACTCGGCGGAGCAGACGGTGAGTGGGGTGAGCGGGGGAGGGCATTTTTTCTCTCTACGCTCTTCCTAGTGGTATGGAAGCACTTACTATCAAGTTCACACTCCCACCGCATCCCTGCCCATTTTCGTGGTGAATCATCATGTCCTCTTCCCTGTCGCAAGTCGAGGTGGCTCATGGCACCGGAGGTAACGAGATCTCCAACCGGGTACAACACCCAGAACGGAAAATAAAAGCGTTCCGAGTGCACAAACGCCTCTGCTCTGTCTTTCAGGTGGGGGACGCCACCATCTTTCAATGCAGCCGCAAACTGTGCTGCAACCAGGGTGCCTACGTGTTTCCGCCCTAGGGAGAATACTTCCCTAAGGGGGAACGCCTATAGCGCCACCTAGTTTTTTTTTTTTTTTTTTTCAAAATAGCTTTGAAACGTTGACGTCAGTTCCGGTATAGAAGGGAAAAGCAGACGTGAACTTGATAGTAAGTGCTTCCATAGGCTTTGTATATTTCCCGCTCTAACTTCAGCTAAGTACCATTCGTCAGAACTGGTAATTATTTTCCTAGTTTTTGTTTTGTCTTTTGCGTTCTGATTTGATTGCAAAAACTAGAGTCACTAAATGAAGTTACGCTTTCAGAGTGCCGAAACTACAGTGGCTGAAATGGGCTAGTGTAGTTACCGCGTATTCTCCACCATGCATCGTGAACGGCCGCTCCTTGGAAGACTTTGTAGGGGGCGCTTCGATCCGCAGCTCCGTTAGGGTGCCTCCATCGGCCGGCATATCGAGGCACCCTAACAAGCTTCAAAACCAATATAAATACATCAAAAACAATTATTTGTTTCCAGTGAACTTCCAACGACATCATTTGTGTTTGAAGGTGTATGAAATATTTGAAACTAGCAGACGACGTTGTAGACATTGAGATCAGTGGTACGGCTGGTACCGCTGGTACGGTCAATTCTCGGCTGCGTATTTTCGGCACCGATTTCAAGCGCAGGGGACGTGGCCACTGACGTCACGGACGTCAAAATAATGTTATTTTGACGTCCGTGACGTCACAGTAATTTATATTCTTTTTTTGACCAAAAAAAAAATGGCGTGCAACGTCAGTTTGGCGCCTGGCAAATCGGCGGTGTCCACACCGGTGTGTTTTGTCGACGTGCAGCCTGTGCTCGTCGCGTTCTCAGGAACATCAGTGGGTAAGCGTCTTTCATTTTCAAATTTGCTGGCAAAACTAGACTACTATGGTGATCGTGGCGTACCCCATCAGCTAATTGAGTCATACTTAAAAGATCGTAAACAGTCTGTTGTCATTAATGATCATGCTTCCTCTTTTCAAGACGTTCCTTGTGGGGCACCTGAAGGAAGTATACTTGGGCCCTTTCTGTTTAATGTTTACATCAACGACATTGTAAGCGTTGATAAGCAAGCACAGTTCATCATTTATGCCGATGATACAAGCCTTTTTTTTCTGCGGATAGTGCCGACGAATTAATATGTCGCGCAAATTCTGTTCTTCAGAGCTTCTTTTTATGGTCGGAGGCTAACGCGCTCAGGATTAATGCGAAGAAACGCAAAGCAATTATTTTTAGATCCGTAAATAAGTCTATCTTAACTCATAGCCCAATTCTACTTGGCAATTCGCAAATAGAAATCGTTAACCAGCACAAAATATTAGGTGTATACTTTTCGGCACATGTGACCTGGGACGCTCATGTAAACTTTTTGATTTCTAAACTGTCTCGTATTGTCGGTGTATTTGCTCGTTGTCGTGGTATTTTGCCACTTCATGTTAAGTTAAAAATATTTCACGCATTATTTCAGTCCCATTTGAATTACTGTCATCTCATATGGGCTACTACAACTAAAACAAATATAAATAAATTATTTTTGCTCCAGAAAAAGGTCTTACGACACGATGCGGAAGTACATTATTTTGATCACACTGAACCTCTGTTTACTAAGTATAATATCCTTCCTATTAAGCATTTGTATGAATACCGCCTGATGTGTTCCATTCATTTTGCACCGGCATCAGTTATTGAATTCTTGTATCGTATTTCGCAATTAACTGAAAGCCTCAGCATCGTCAGCACACGTCGTACAGGGTTTTGGGCTATCCCTCGGTCACGTACAAACTATAATCTGAAATCCCTGTGCCATATTTTTCCATCTTTGTTAAATACATGTCTCACCAAGAACATAGATATATGTTCGGCTAGCGAGAAAGACATCTTGTCGTATTTTATTTAATTGGATTTTGTTGTATTTTCAATTTTTTAAATGAATTGTAGTATTTATTTTCGTGTATCTATATGTGCGCGTACTGTGTATTCATTATTTTTCTCTGTATTGAATGCTGTTGCCTGTAAACGGGGAGCCTGAGCCCAGTCAAGCTGTTCTTGGACAGCTTTTTGTCTAGGCTCCCCTCCAGAATTTCTGGAGAATAAAAAAGATTTGTTTGATTGATATATTGATTGAATTTCGCCCGGTGCCGAGAAAAGAATTATGTAGCTCGGAGTTGGTTTGGAAGAGGTCTGTGTCGTGTTGCCCTCCTTGTATATACCCTCAAGGGTTAAAATGTCTGTATTCAATCAGCTCACCTGCACCCTTGCTTTAACTTCATTACTTTTACCTAACGCAGACATTGGCCCAATATCTACTTCCGTTTTTTTCCCTATGACTCCGAGACACCACGAGTTGCATGCGCTCTTTTGTTTTATGCCGGCTAGTTCATCGTGCTGCGGACTTGGAGTCGGACGCAAGCTACTTCAGCCTTGCACCACGGAAACGATGTGGTGGAGGCTCTAACTTCAGATATCTGACTTCTGCAAACCTTTAGTTGCGTTTTCAGAGAAGAATCCTCAAGTGAAGTGTCAACTAAGCTGTGGGTTGCTGTCGGAGAGAACTTCACCTCCTCGCTGGACCTCAAGGCTTGGTATCGACTGAAACAAGACTCCGAGCTGGTGTGACGTCTCATTCTTTCGTCAGGTTTCCAGCGTTGGGCCCCGCACCTCGGCACCCCGCGGCCCACGCGCCGGCAATGTAAGCCTTTTCAGCATCTTTACAGGCCTTTCGGGGCGCTGTCTCTCGCGCTCTTGGGCGCGCGCGCTCGCGTGCTCCCGTGACGGTGCCGGGATGGGAGAGGCGCCGGCTGTGTGAATGAGGCCGAAGACTGCTCCAAACTGCCGATGTACCCGTGGCGGCTCCTCCTTGAACCTTGTCTACAGAGATGCCTTGTCCTCAGGATCGGTGTTTCGTTCAGTGAAGTCACCGACCTCGCTCGTCTCGGGAACGTCCAGGGTTCTCGCCTCCCTCCTGGGGTCAACCACCGGACACTCGCTGATGAGATGCCCAACCGCTTTACAGGCGAAACACTTCCGCCGCTTCTTGTCTCCGAATCGCTTCGCTCCAGCTTTCTCGGCTACCTTTGGCTTTTCAGGAACATGTTCGGACTTAAGGCAAATCCGCTTGGTTTTTTTTTTCAAAGTGTTCCAGGCACCTGGAAAGCTCCTTCGGCTTATTCCAATCGCCACACTCCGTCAGAACAACGTGCCTTGCCGCAAGCACCATCAAATCAAATCAAGTTTATTTGCTGTCACATTTTACATGACAACAGGGACTTGGACAAAAAGCTGCTAAAGAGCAGCTTGACAAAGGTCCCAGCCCCCGTGCAGTTCGCGACAGTTTCAAACATAATTTAACAACTAAAATTTGGACTACAACTACACAGTGTACAGAGACTAGGACAAACCAATGCAAAAGCCTGATTTATACAATACTAAATGTATTGCAAACATATAGACGAAAAATACACATGCCAGTGGTGAAAGAAAAACTCCTGTTCATGACAAAAAAAAAATGGTCCACGTCTGGGAGGGGGGGGGGGGGGGGAGGAGAGGATTTGTTTAGAGGGAGGCTCCGGCCCCCCGGGCCCCTCCTTTGGATCCGCCACTGGTTTGAGGAGGCGTTTTCTCCTTTTCGATCAGGTAAATTGTGATTGCCCCTGCAGCGGCTGCGGTCACCCAAAGTTTCGTTAAAAAGTATTCTCCGTTGAAGCACCAATCAAGAAACGTGGTAATTGGGTCGCTGTGAGAGGTGAACGTGTAAGACTGGTTTCCTGGACCCCTGGGGCTGGAGCCTCCTGGACCCCTGGGGCCGGAGCCTCCGGGACCCCCGGGGCCGGAGCCTCCGGGACCCCCGGGGCCGGAGCCTCCGGGACCCCCGGGGCCGGAGCCTCCGGGACCCCCGGGGCCGAAGCCTCCGGGACCCCCGGGGCCGAAGCCTCCTGGACGCCCTGGGCCGGAGCCTCCGGGACGCCCGGGGCCGGAGCCTCCTGGACGCCCCGGGCCGAAGCCTCCTCCGCCGTTGTCCTCGGGCGCCTCCTTGCTAGACTTGTCGTACTTGTCCCGCTTCTCCTTGTCGCTGAGGACCTCGTAGGCTTTGCCCAGCTCCTTGAACTTTTCCTCCGCATCCGGGCTCTTGTTCTTGTCGGGGTGGTAGCGTTTTGCAAGCTTCCGATAGGCCTTCTTGATGTCGTGCAGAGTGGCAGTCCTCCCAACACCCAGGATTTTGTAGAAATCCTTTCCCATGTCTGTGGCCTGCAACGACACAATGTCAATGGTTACAGTCTTTATCTAAACCCAAGGCTTCATAAACACGCAAAATACTTTCGGGGTAACTAAGGAGAGGAAAGCGAAAATGAGTAAATTAAGTAAGTAAGTAATAAGTAAGTAACTGGCAATTTGCAACTACAGTGGAGTCTGTGCCATCCAGCAGTAAGAGATGCGACAGCCGAAATGTGGACCTAAAACTTCCGCTGGGTGGGCGACGACTGGAAGGTAGTCAATTGTTTAGCGGTGAAGCTGCGGATTTCTCATTTTTACGAACTTGGGTGCCAAGGATTTTCACAATGATTGTTTGATTGAGTTTTATTGGTGCAAAAGCGTCTAAGGCTATAGAGCGCCAAAATCTGTGACTATTTCATGAAATGGTTTCTAGAGAGGAAGGAGGGCTCTAGTGGCCAGTGATAGAATAAAGGGATGGACATGAATCTGTATATAAATAATGTGGATGAAAAGTTTAAAAATTGCAAAACAAGTTTAAAGTCGACGTAAAAGTCCAGTGCTTTCTAGGAATTTAGAATCATTTTTATGATTTATAAAAGGTTCATCTCCAAGCAGAAGAGCAAGGTGTAAAGGCATCTGTGCTGAATAAAACTGGGCGAAGTAGAATTGCCGGTACCTGTGATATGCGGGGCACTCAAGAAGGATATGCACTACAGTTAATGGTTCTGAACAGTGTTCGCATGCAGGTGGATCTTCTCAGCAAAGCAGATACCCATGTGTTAGATGTGTGTGGCCAATTCTTAACCGACAAATAATTACCTCGAAAAACCTATCCCTATGACGGGCACTCGCCCACTCCTGTAGCATCGGCTTCACAACATGGAGTTTGTTGGTTTCGCGGGACCATTCCTCTTGCCATTTACCTTTGTAGTCTTGGTAAGGTATGTTGTGAATATCATTCCTTCCAGCATATGTGGAAGCGTGTCAATCAGCAGCTTCATTCCCGGGTATACCCACGTGGCTAGGCACCCAGCAAAAGACTATCTGCAATAGCTGCAGATAGTCTTTCCCTAGCTGCAGCAACCACTTTATGTTGTAGCTGAGTTATTAAAAGGTTTTTTGCTATCTCAAAGGATCTAAGTGATCTCAGAGCACTTAGTGAATCAGTGTAAACTGCAGAGTATGGATGCCTATTTTTGATAATATAGTCTGTGGCCAATAAACCGTATAACTCGGCAGTCAAGATAGTTGCACTGGAATTAATCCTCCGCACAAATTTAAGTGATGGTCCAATCACGGTACAGCCGACAGAGGAGTCGGTTTTTGTGCCGTCAGTATAAAAGCTGGTGTAGTCGTTATATGTATTTTGTAGCTCAAAGAATTCCTGTTTTAAGACTTCTGGTGGGGTAGTTTTCTTAGTGTACTCAGTGAGTGACAAGTCTGTGATGAGCAGGCTATGCTCCCATGGTGCCACTCTTCCCAAAAGCTGAGCGACAGGTGGGTTCATCTGAAGGTTAGCCGAAACAGCCGCGGTCTTGTTCCGCAATGAAAAGGGAGGCTTAACAGTGAGCTTACTTTAGAAGGTTCGTTCGAAACGTGTTCCCTCGACTAGTTGACAACACGGATGTTGTACTATAGACCGTATCCTAAGGGAATACATTAGACCTAGGACATCTCGCCTTTTTTCTAGAGACATTTCACTAGCTTCAGCATAGAGGCTCAGCACAGGGGGATGTACGAAACGCACCGTTGGCAAGTCGGATCCCTGCGTGATGGATTGGATCCCAGATTTTCAGTGTTGATGTATTTGCTGATCCATACACCCAGTGGCGTAGCCAGGATTTTATTTCGGAAGGGGTTCAAAGGCATTATCCCCCCTCCCCAAATGACGAAGCAGGGTGAACTCTGTGCTACGGACACTCACGCAAAGATTAGCGAGGCGCTGTTAAGATAAAACGGGTGAAGCTGCATTGTTATTTTTTTAAAACTCAGCAGGCTTCATTTGGGCTTCCTGTTCTACTGTCGTCGAAATTGTGGCCCACGAACTTTAAAAACTTCCTCACAGCACACAACTCCCTCCGCTTTTTGAGGTAGCACTGCATTACCAAGGCGTGCCGGCCAGACAAAACAAAAGGATAGCTATACTGTCACAAAAAATTAAAAAGCAACAAAAAAATAAATCTCGACGCTGAAAAATCAGAGCAAACGTCCACCCACAAACACTAGACCATATTTAGGGTTGTTAGTTTTCGGGTAAAACCCGATTTTACCCGATTTTTACACCCCAAACATGTATCAGGAGAATCGGGTTAAACCCGATTTCTCCCCGAATTCCAAAACCACATAACCAATCTAATTATTTTTACACCACACAGACTTTGCGGTGCACACACGCTATCTAAACTACCTTTGGAAAACAGTGACCTGTAGTTCATTTCGCAAGCTGCATGCAGCACTGTAGACGCTACACGAGTCTCAACCAACCGTCCAATGAGCACGCCTAACTCACCGTGACATTCTACAGAGGCCGGTTGAAGAAAAGCGACAATAGGCGTTGTTGAGTCCTCGGAGGGACATTTCCGTCCCCCCGCCGTGCAGTTGGAACTGGCTCGGCACGACACATAGCTTCGGCCCTACTGCACGCAGCTTGTGAAATGCACAATTAATCCCTCTTCGACCGCTGTTAGGTGTCGACACCCAGCAGGGTCTCTCGGGTAGCATGGCCATCTCGCTGGCGGTCTACCTTTCTCACGAACAACGTTTGAGCAAGTCAGTCCCGTAAACAGATCGGGACAACTTAACAGGTTTATTCCATAGCGAAATATCTGATCGAAGATGACCGTACATCGAACGGTCAGGGTTCTTGTTGACACCTGAGGGAGAGAAGGATTCTGTGAGCGGTGCTTCCCTTGAAGTGACTGACGGCAATCGGAGCTGGAAAACCTTGATGTCTCCCCGATTACCAGCTTGAAACAGATCCCAAAATTTGACGCGTTAGCATGAAGGAACTCGTGATACCCTTCAATAATAATTTAAAAAAACACGAATGTTTTACTGAGTACATTTGTAACTTTAACCCGAAAAAACGTGGATTTCGGAATGTTTCCACCAAAACCCCGATTTCTCCCCGATTATCAGCTTGAAAAATAGCTCCCGATTTTTACCCCCCGAATTTCAAAAAATATAAAACCCGAAAACGAACAACCCTAACCATATTCCAAGCCGCCATTAAAATGGCCCGGAAGGTAAAATTCAGATGCCGCGAGTAAGAAGTCACAATGTCACCGCTGTAACATTCCCGCAAGCATGGAAGCGCATTTTAAGCGCTCCGTGTTCCTTCCTTTTATGCATTACCTTATCACACAGTTAGATGGGAGATTTAAAAAGCACCGGCATACGTTGAAATTACTTTCGTCACTTCTGCCTGCGAAGATCTTGGAAAGCGGGGCAGCTCCCGGCCCTGAAAAGTTTTTGGAGCTCTATTCAGGCCTGGTTTCAGTTCCTAGACTCCAATGCGAGGTGCTCATATGGGCTTCCAAAGGCAAGACGGAGAAACGTGAAACGCCCGTCACGTCCCCGCAACAGGTGGTCGCCCTCGCTCCGGGGGCCCTATTGGCAACGCGATGTTTGGTTGCGCCACCTCGCGGGCGCCCCCCTGTGACACAGCTGATGCGAGCAGACGACGCGCTATGTCAAAGCACGGAGTGGCTACGTTAGTTCACAACTATGCAGATTAAAACGGTTTATTTATTTATTATAACGTTTTTGTGAGTGATCCTTCTAATAAATAACAGCGCCTCGAAGTTGCATTTTTTATTAGAAAAAATTTAAAATGTTCAAAAACAAGCCTGGAGCATTGCATCACAGCTTGCGCCGTGTGCGTCAGGGCCATTCATGCTCAGACTTTTTTTTTTTTTTTTTTTTTCGGATCTGTGGAGGCAGTTTTAGAAAAAGGTTTTGCATTCACCACAGTAATTGGCTTGGTGTCTTCTTAGCTGTGCACGTGCGCACAGTTGCGTCGGAAAGCGCCGCACACTAGTTTTAGCTGCATTGAGCTTGCCGATACCGACGCTTCTATCCAGGTGACTCGACAGTTGTTGCAGAGCAAATGCTTGTCAGCAACTGACGCTTAACTCCTCCTGAATCAAAAACGCGACAAATAAGTTAGTCACATCGCGACTTCTGCTCAAAAGAAGAATTTTTTATAAATTTTTAAATTGTCGGCCATGGCCCGGCGAATTCGGGTGACTGATTAATTTGTTCTATCCTATTTTTACTAAGAATTGTTCTCAAATTTAAAATCTCTCGCCTAGGAGCGCATCACGCATTATGCGCATTTGGGTTCGCAAAAACTAAACATACAAACGGTAGTAATTTATAGCAGGTACATTCCTCATTTTCTAGGACGCTGAAGTGTCACAGGCTGTGTTCCAAATCTTACCCAAATGAACCCGAGTTACTCCGGCGGGTCATGTCACGTGACAACACAGATTGAAGAACGCTTGACGCGGGTAGGTTTTGGAACGCCAAGGTACCAAACTCTTACCCTATAGTAAGATCGAGTAAATTTTGAAACACGGCCACAGACTTACTAGATTACTTCAATCGTGAGGGGGTCTCGCAGGTTTCGGGTCGGCCGGGTGAATAAGCAGGGGATTTAGTCGAAACGACTCCGGAAGCTAGCCTCCACTTCTTCCTGCCAGTCATTTTGAGGAAATGTTCATCTACTGGTTCACACAAATAAAAGAAAAGGAATCAACTCGGAACTAATAAGAGACCAGCACTCACGGAACACATTGGAACCAAGAGGATACACGGAGTTGCTTTCACTGAAACGCGAGAGGTTCTCGCATTTCGCTTTCCTTTTTCCAATTTAATGAGATTTCCCTTTCTTAGTTTTATTTTGTCCGAATCACAATAAGAAAGTGAAAGCCGTTTACCACTCCCTGTAACGCCGAATTGGAGCGCAGCTTTTGAAGGGGAGGAGGGAAGGGTACTGAGGGCCACGGTTTCTCGGGGGGGGGGGGGG